ATAAATAACTACATCTTGAATAATTGAACGAGTGAGTGGTGGTGAAGGGGTGATGATGATGGTGATGGTTGTGAGAGCGGTGATGATGATGATGATGATGATGATGATGATGATGATGATGATGATAATGGTGGTGATTATGATGATAGGAGCCAACATGGAAAGCCTCACAGAAAATGTAAAAAAAAAAATATAGTACAAAACTTACCACCTGACATAGTGTTCAGGTTAATGTCATTTTTTATCATGTAAATATCACAATGGGATGATATGAACTTCACAATTGAACAAATAGATATGATAATTCACCTTATAGATACAGCCACTCTATGAAGACAGTGATTGATGAAGGGGGATGTCTGGCTAGTGTGTGTGTGTGTGTATGTCTGGCTAGTGTATGTGTGTGTCTGGCTAGTGTGTGTGTCTGTCTGGGGAGTGTGTATGTCTGGCTAGTGTGTGTGTGTGTCTGGCTAGTGTGTGTGTCTGTGTGTGTGTCTGTTCGCTGGGGTGTGTGTGTGTGTCTGGCTTGTGTGTGTGTCTGGCTAGTGTGTGTGTGTGTGTGTGTGTGTGGCTGGTGTGTGTGTGTGTGTGTGTGTGTCTGGCTTGTGTGTGTGTCTGGCTAGTGTGTGTGTGTGTGTGTCTGTCTGGCGAGTGTGTGTGTCTGGCTAGTGTGTGTGTGTATGTCTGGCTAGTGTGTGTCTGTCTGGCTAGTGTGTGTGTCTGGCTAGTGTGTGTGTGTGTGTGTGTGTGTGTGTGGCTAGTGTGTGTGTCTGGCTAGTGTGTGTGTATGTCTGGCTAGTGTGTATGTCTGGCTAGTGTGTGCCTGTCTGGCTAGTGTGTGTGTGTGTCTGGCTAGTGTGTGTGTGTGGCTAGTGTGTGTGTGTCTGGCTAGTGTGTGTGTCTGTCTGGCGAGTGTGTATGTCTGGCTAGTGTGTGTCTGGCTGGCTAGTGTGTGTGTGTCTGGCTAGTGTGTGTGTGTGTGTGTGTGTGGCTAGTGTGTGTGTCTGGCTAGTGTGTGCTGTCTGGCTAGTGTGTGTATCTGGTCTTACTGAGTTATCCAGAAGTAGCCAAGATCCGGGTCTAGAAAAGTTCCTACGGTGATTAATTCTCGTAACCAATGATGTAAAATTGGTTTGACTTAAATTAATGCACAAAAAGTCTAAAATTAACTTTGATCTTATAAGTAATTCTCTACCTTAACTATGCGCATTTAACAATAAATGAAATAAATTTAACCCACAGAAACTTACACAAAAAATATCCTGTGTACTTTTGTTTTACTAGGTGTTGTGAGCCCGTATCCAGTTAAGGTAGAGAATTACTGGTGTTTCAGCTTTAAGACCACCAGTGATATACAGTCTTCCATCTTTAAGTTACCACGAACATTCATCTTACGATCCTTTAAGACTCGGAACCCAATTGACCTATTTACGAGGATTTACCAACACAAGATACCACTGAGCTGTAACATAATTCAAGAGATAATTATGCTGTTAATATTTTTTTGTGAATTAAACTGCTCACAGCAATAATCCTTCTACCTTTTACTTGATATAGATACACTGTTATAAGTTATGGAGTGAAATGTTTTGCGAGATTATCCCCAGGTGGTGTTGACGGGTTGATAACTGATTTATAAATTATTAATAGATATTGGAACATGTAGGTAGATGTTAGCTTACAACAGACACACTGGTTATGGAGCGTAGGTAGAGTGGATAATAATACTCGTCTCCTGATCAAACTTTACTACTACTACTGCTGTCCCCTTATGTAGTGAAGGCTTAATGAGGTGTCTGGCCTGAGGGACCTCCTTGTACTGCACCTCTGTCTGTTGCTCGTCAGGTTATTCCCAGATGATGAGAACCTCCTGAAGAACTTACCTATACTGTTGATGTCTTGTTTTCAATGGATTTCTAAATTTATAATAATGACCTTAGAGGATTTTCTACCTGTTGTTGTCTTTGGAGTGGAAAATAGAGTAAAGTTAAGATGATTTCACGGAGATGATGTTCTTTGGTGGAGAGAATTAGGAAAAAATAAAACAATATATTCTTTACACTTACAAGACGGGTCCGGGCAGCTTAGTTTATTTACCTTGAGTCAACTATTGAGTTTGTCTTCAACTTTGGTGGTTACAGAGAGACGATTTCTTTAGATTTCAACACAATTTGTTTTACCTGATGGATTATTTACACATTTATTCTTGTTATTATTTTCTAACTGACTCTCAACAATGACCTACTTTCTGCTTTGTTTTCTTACCTGATTTATGGTGTGTGTGTGTGTGTGTGTGTGTGTGTGTGTGTGTGTGTGTGTGTGTGTGTGTGTGTGTGTGTGTGTGTGTGTGTGTGTGTGTGTGTGTTAACCCTTCTCATCCTCTTCATCATCTCATCTCTACGTCCTTCATTCCTTAAATAATGTTTGGACTCATTTAAGCCCTGGTGACACACTCTACCACCCGTGTGTTTACCGAGAGAGTTGAGGAGTCTTTTCAGGGGGCAAAAAATGGACAAAGTTTAGCTTGTGGGGAGGAAATACAAAAATTTTAAAGGTTTTGGCTCAGGGCTGTTTTCAGAGCTGGTAACACTGACACAGGGTGGGGGGGAAATCGAACACTACTTCAATAGGATCAAGGACTGCGTATCTCTTGTTCAGATCCTGTAAGTGTTGTCCCCCCTCCTCACTCCTTCCTGCCTCTCACTTTTCCCCTCACCTCTCTCCTTCTCACTCCTCTCCATCTCACCCTTCCCTTCTCCTCGCCCATATTCCCCTTACTTCACCCATCCCTCACCCATTCACTCTCTTGTCCCTTCCCATTCTCATCACCTCCTCTGTTCCCCTCACCATCACCCCCTCCATTCCCCTACCTATCTACTGCTCCTTCACCCCTCCCTTCCCCTCACCCCTCCCTTCACCTTCCTGTTAACCATCTTGCCTCACCCCTACTCCCCCTTGCTTCTCTTATTCCATTTTTGAATCCCTTTCATCTCCTCCCCCCCCCTCCCCTTCCCACCCCTCGTCAGTCCCTTCCCCCCTCCCCTCACCACCCCTCGTCAGTCCCCTCCTCCCCCTCCCCTCACCACCCCCCATGCTGTCCTTTTTCAAGTCTCGGCTCCTAAACACGCCATTAAACTACGCCAACACTTTAAGTCATATTTTATGACAGCAATCAAGACGACCTGGGAGAGAGAGGGGAGGGGAAAGGTTATGGGAGAGAGGAGGTGAGAAGGGAGGAGGGAGAGAAGGAGAGAGGGGAGAAGAGGAAAGGGGAAAGAAGGTAGGATAGGAGAGAGAAGAGGAGGAGATGGTAGGGGAGAGAGGAAAAGGAAGGGAGGAAAGAGGGAGAGATGAATGGATAGACAAGAAACGAAACGACTGGATAGAGAGAGCAGAACAAGAGACGAATGAATGCATAAAGGAGTGTGTTAGAGATAATTTACCATTGAGAGACATTGAATGAGAGTTTTGTGTTCACTCTCCCACTCTTTGATCTTTCCCTCTCTCTTTTTTTTCTCTCTTTGTCTCTTATTTACTCTTTTTCTCTTTTTAGTCCACCTTTCTAATCCTCTCTCTCTCTCTCTCTCTCTCTTCACTATACCTTCAAAGTAACACAATTACACGGTATACTTTCATCAGTAAACACAAAAATAATGAAAATACCAACATAAGTATTTTCGAGGAACGTGATAATTTTTAGTACACTTGGTATACGAACATGACATAGGAGGTCTAACCTAACCTAACCTAACCTACCCTAACCTACCCTAATCTCAGGTGTACAGTGTTGATAATTTATTTTTACTCCCTCTGATGATGTGGGGGTTACTGATATTAGCATTACCTGAAGATTACTGTAGTCCTTCTTAGGTTATTTCATCTTAATATTAATCATTCTAATGTAATGTAATCATTCTAATCTAATCTCCCAGTGAGCTAATCTAAGCTAATATAACCTAATTTTATCTGTATTTAGCCTAACCTAACGTAACATTAACTTAACGAAAGCTAATTTTACGAAACATAACCTAACATAACATAACCTTACCTAAGCTAACGTAATCTAACATCACTTAATTTAACCTCACCAACCCAACCCAACCCAACCCAACCCAACCCAACCCAACCCAACCCAACCCCACTCCCCACCCCACCCCAACCCACCCCAACCCAACCCAACCCAACCTAACCCACTCCCACCCCAACTCCACCCACCCAACCCAACTAATAGAACAAACATATTTAATCAACCCATAACTAAGCTCAGGTAAACCAATCATCAGGTAATCCAAATATTAAACCCCCCAAAAAAAAAAAAAAAATAATAATAATAATAATAATACGTAATGATTCTAAACCTCATGAAAAAAATTGTTGTTGTTGTTAGGCCTCGTGAGGAACGCCGTGTAATGAGAGTTTATGAGTTGTTCCCCAAAAGGCGTATATAGAGAGGTTATGGGAGGTCGTTTATTGAAGGTGGATGATGGAGGGAAGATGTCGCCTCCTAAACATCCTTATTGGATCTTCAAACGATATTGAAACAGTTGAGTATTTAAGACCTTGGGGAGGGGGAGGGGGAGTTGGGGATTGGGGAAGCTTGATGTGATTGGTTGTATTTTGTTGTTGAATTTTTATTTTGAGGGGAAAGGGATGGATTTTGTTTTTTGTGATTGTGTGTGTGTGTGTGTGTGTGTGTGTGTGTGTGTGTGTGTGTGTGTGTGTGTGTGTGTGTGTGTGTGTGTGTGTGTGTGTGTGTTAGGTTTGGTAAGTTTTAAATTTGGCTAGGTTCTGTAATTAGGTTAGTTGCGGTTTGGTTAGGTTAGGTTAGGTTATTTGTCATCATTGAAATCATATAGTGAGGTTGAGGTGATAAGGTCTACTTTAGTCTGTCAGTAGAACACTTAATTTCTCTGTATTCCTTGTGTGGTAACGCTGGGCCTCTTGTGATTGGTTACTTACGGAAGAGTAGCCATGACGTCACGCCGGCTTTGTTTACATACGTTTGATCTGGACTGCGGCGGCGGCTTCCCACTTCCACCTTGGGCCACGCGAGCCATTTTTAACAACTATTGGACAATTGTCGGAATGTCTTTGGTAATTAGAACAGGTTACAAAGGTTTGAATCCCTTGAAGGCGATAACTTAACCCTTTGAGGACGAGAACTTAACCCCTTGAGGACGAGGACTTGACCCTTTGAAGACGACGATTTAACCCCTCGAGAACGATGACTTTGCACCTTGAGGACAGTGAGAACGAGGTCTTAGCCCGTAAGCACAAAGAATTAACCCATTGATAGATATGTATCTTCGTCCTCTACGTATAATATCTTAGTACCTTGAGTATAATAGTTTAATATCTTGAACTTGATGTCTTAAACCTTTAAATACTACGATCAATACCCATTAGCATGATGACAATGTTCTCAGGAGGTTAAAGTTACCGTAAGTCATGGGGTTAAGCTAGATATGGTTGCTTAGGGTATACAGTACAGACCTCTAACTTCAAGTACAGCAACAGTTAACACCAGTCAGTAAACTCAGACTTGACCAACTCAGAATTATAAAAAAAATGTCTCTCATATCACCAAGTTTTTATATGACACGTTGAAAATATAAATATATCTTAAATGTGTAAAATATACTCTCAGGTTACGTATTGTTATATAATTTTTGTTACCTATTGTTTCAGATTAAATGTTATGGTTAAATACAGTTTAATTAGGATATTTACTTAAGCAACTAGTAATATTATTGGGTAGAATTAAGCGCAGGAGATGACGGGGATTGGGTTGGATTGAAATGGATGTATTAAATTTATTGTTTGATCCCTGAAACCAAATTTGGGAGGATTGATAAAGACAACCCGGAAATCTTGGGGGTGGAAGGCCGTGGTCGCCAACCCTCAGTCAAACTTATGGTTCCTCTTAGATAAGAATATAAGACCTTCATAATTCATCGTTAAATTCATAAGTCGTTGGATCTTCAATTTTTCATGATTAACCTAAAAAAATGAAGAAAAATTAGCGGGGGTATTGTTGTTCTTTTCCCTAACCGGAAATAATGGCGGATGTGTTATTGTACTTTCCCATGAGGAGAAATAACGAAACAATAGAAATTAAAGTATGCAATTAAATGGAAAACTTTCGAATATAACTTTAGAACAATCTACTGCGCCAATCTCATTACAGTAACTGAGGGACTAAATGGCAGAATTGTTCCCCCTCTTAAAAGCACCTGAATGGTGAGTTTGTGGAGAGGAATAACAAATTACCACCATCTCCCCCCTATAACCAGCCAACGCCCTGGAATAATTGACCAAACTCACTCTCTATGACATTGAAAAATTATTCAGTTGTAAAGAAAATTGGACACTTTTTCTCTGTGTGAGTGACCTTCGTTTTTTTTTATGCTATCTGTTGATACTTCCGAGAGGTTTAATGATCCTCAATTTGTAAAGCTGAATAAAAGCAATCTTCTTTGAACTAAGTTGGTGTTTGGAAAGGTTGAATGGTACTCGTATATTTAACTGTCGTGGTGTTAAGAGATGGGTATAAACCAGTGGTTCTCAACCTTTTTCACCCCATCCCCCCCTTGAGGAATTTTCAACATCCTCGTGGCCTCCTTCATTCCCCACAAATAATGTTGAAAAATAAAATGCAGATGAAGAAAATACCCTTATTTTATTTCAAGGTTGACAATCATCATTATCTTATATTTTGATAGACTTACATGATTGACTAACTGACGTCACTAGACTAGGGTGACTACTAGACAAGCCTCACAGCAAACTTTAATTTGGTTGGGAAAAAGTTCATATGACCTCTGCATATTTTGTCACAGCTCAGTGGCAAGGCTGATATTGTTTCCTATCAGTCAAGGGTTGACACACGGACACGTACTGAACAAGTCAGTTCAGCAGCTCGGTCCAGCGCCTGTCACACAGACAGGGACTGGACCTGTGAAATCTTAAATAATCCGTAAAAAAAAAAAAAATGCACTAGAGTATGTAAATATTAAAATTGTATTGTCGTTATGATTAAACAAAATGGCAAAAAAAGAATGAAAATTCTCTTCTGCCAAGTCAAAATAAGTAATACAAGTTTTGTTTAATTCAGATTCCCAACATTATTTGGAAACGTACAATTTATAACAGCTCGCCGTGGCTCCCTTAGGGGCCATGGCCCCCAGGTTGAGAACCATTGGTATAAACTGATTAAACACACACACACACACACACACACACACACACACACACACACACACACACACACACACACACACACACACACACACACACACACACACACACACTGTAGCTTCCACATATTGCTTGACACAGCTGAGGCCCATCATGGTACAGTATGATAACAGTTCCGTGTTTATTAGACTCACCTCACATCTTCCACAGTCAGTATACGAGTGCTAAGGGGCTTCATGGATGTGTTAACAGGAAGCAGAGCGGCTGGGTGGGCGTCCAGTTTGTTGCGGCTCAGACCTGGCGACTGTCACGGTGAACAATGACCCACGCCCGAGGCAGGTGTGTCCTCCACCCACGCCTCCCAGGTGCTGTTACTCACCTTTAACTCGTTCCCCGCGTCCCTCGTTACCTGCTACATGTGAAGAACACCTGCAGTCCATTCCACCCAAAAGACCACGAGGTATTAGTCCTGCGGATATATTAAACAGCTAGTTCACCTAAGTCTTGTTCACTGCATGTTTGACTCACTGTGTAATGAACTCTCAGGTAAATTACATAAAGCGACACACAACGGCATAAAGGTCACTACCTTAACTACTATGAGCTGTCAAAGCCGTAGTGACTACCATTACAGCATGTTACCTGGTGAACGACAGAAAAAATATTAAAAACAGGGATGCCGGGTAACGACCACGCGCCTACGAACGTTCTAACATTTGAGCTACATGACCAAGAGAATATTAAGTCAGTAGATATAGCTAACATTACTTGTCGCCTTCATAATGTTCCCCCACCACCTACGGGGTTACCACTACACCAGTAGCTGCGTCAGTCCTGGCTGACAGAACTCTGGAGAAACTTTTGTGGTGCGCCGGCATCGTGAGTGATGATAAATATCTTCAAAGAGCAGTATGATCATGTGTGTGTGTTTGTGTGTGGACAACACAACATCTGGTAAATGCCTCAGCCAGCTGCTCTGGGCTACACATGCTTACAGTGAGAACCCAACGGCGGAAGAGGTGACCAATACGCTGGTGTTGCTCCTCCGTCGAGGTTGAAGAAACAGTTGTTAAAACAGAAGTGATACACTTCTCCTTGACTCTCTGTGACACCCCCCAGGACACTAGTGTTTAATTACAACATTTCTCACATTGTCACCTCATAACACAAAATCACCCAGCAGCGGTCAACACTTTCTCCTCTGACTTAGTCCTCCATCTTGTTGTATATAACAGTGCATCCGGTGGCAGGATGATCAATTAGAAATGATCCTTAATTATGTGAAAATTTATATTGTTATTGTCCAATTGAGTCATTACCACCCGGGTGAAGTGATAATACACAACTATCCCCTAAGTAACCAGCACCCGCACCTCCCTACCCACACCCGCACCTCCCTACCCGTACCAGCACCTCCCTACCCGTACCAGCACCTCCCTACCCGTACCAGCACCTCCCTACCCGTACCAGCACCTCCCTACCCGTACCAGCATCTCCCTAATGTCATCTCTTTATCTTCACAATCGTGGTAATGCTTGGGAAACATACACACTGACATACAGAACTCCGCTTCCTGTCAGGTCTAATTTTTGATAATCTCGTTTTCTTTCATTAGTTTCATAATAATGTTTAGCTGATTTGAGTTTACTTAATTATTAAACCTGTCAAGGATAAGTTCCAGTACACCTGTTGAATTGTCGTTTGTTGACATTAATTATGAAGACATGATAAACATAAACGTCCACCACTGTAGAATAGAGACTAATTGAATAAGCTCATTGAATTGAATTTAGTTAAGTATTACCAACTTGTAATACCAACTCTAAAATAATAAACATGGCTTCCAAGACATTATATTTGCTGAGGAATTGGCAACAGTGTTTGGGTTGTATTGTTGTCTCGATATGGTAACAGCGAGCCTAAAATATTTATTGCATCTGATTACATAATTATACTCAATATATAATTCATATTGGGATAATTGCCATAATTAATAGGTAGAGAGGAATGTAATTGATATAGTAAGTTTATTGAATTTGCTTAACTTAGGAAGGGCGAGGAATTTTTAATGAGTCCATAGAATGAGTGTGTAGAATAGATAACATTCTTCCTCACCACACACACACACACACACACACACACACACACACACACACACACACACACACACATACATTAAAAAGAAGCAATAAAAACAAAAAACAGAATGACATAGAGACAAAAAGAGCTTAATTTAAAATAAAACAAAGATAAAAAAGAGAGTACAGGGTGAAAGAGAAGCAAATAGAGAGAGAGAGAGAGAGAGAGAGAGAGAGAGAGAGAGCGAGAAATGAGTCAGGCATCGTGAAATGACCTCTATTGGAAAACCATCGTGATCTTCCTAAGTTTATCCTCCACTCAATAACAAATGACCAGTTAAATCACGCCCCTTCTGTGTGATTGGAGGTGAGGTGAGAGAGAGAGAGAGAGAGAGAGAGAGAGAGAGAGAGAGAGAGAGAGAGAGAGATGAATGCACATAGTAAAAGGCAACGAGATGGAGAGAGACAGAGAGAAAAATAACAAGAGGAAAAAGAGAGAGAGAGGGGAGAAATAATTGAGAAGGAGGGAAAGAGGAGGTAACAGCTATATCACGTTTTCGTTCTGTTGTGAGAGAGAGAGAGAGAGAGAGAGAGAGAGACAAAAATAGAGAGAGAGAGAGGGAAATGAGTTATATGCCATCTTGTTTCTGCTTGATTGGGAGATGTGTGTGTGTGTGTGTGTGTGTGTGTGTGTGTGTGTGTGTGTGTGTGTGTGTGTGTGTGTGTGTGTGTGTGTGTGTGTGTGTGTGTGTGTGTGTGTGTGTGTGTTTGTGTGTGTGTGT